CGTTAGTACTTCCTTACAAATTATCTGGAGAATCTCACACATGTCACAGCATATCGTTTCTTTTTCTGTCTGTGCTTTGAATCTCCTGTGTGGAAACAGAGTTGTGAATTCTGCATCAGCAAAGCTGGTGGCAGCTGCTGAGCCCTGCAGGGATGAGCTTTTGGGGTGTCTGACTGCAGTGTCCCCAGTGCTCATGTTTGCTTTCTGCCCTCCTTCCCCCAGCGGTGACCTTACTGTGGTGCCCAAAGGGGTTCCTGGAGAGCTGGAGAGGGACCTGGGACAAGGCATGGAGTGACAGGACAAGGGGGATGGCTGCACTCTGCCAGAGCGGGGATTAGATGGGAGACTGGGAAGGAATTCTTCCCTGCGAGGGTGGCACGGACTGGCACAGCGTGCCCAGAGGAACGCGGTGCTCCCTCTCTGTCAGCATTCACGGCCGGCTGGACGGGGCTCGGGACAGCTGGGATGGTGGAAGGTCCCTGGGTATTTTTAAGGCTCCTTTCCAGCCCAAACCGTTCCACGATTCTGTAAAGACAAGGAATCTCGCAAGGAACGAGCGGCATCTTTAGGTTGTGCTAGGCTCCCGCGGGGCAGCCCGGGCGCGGGGCAGGGCGAGCGGCGAGCTCCCGGCGGGAGTTGCTCGCTCTGCATTAGTTGTGGGGGCCGGCGGAGAGCAGAGGCACCGCCCGGTTCTATGGTGTAATGGTCAGCACTCTGGACTTTGAATCCAGCGATCCGAGTTCAAATCTCGGTAGAACCTGCCCCGCTCTCTGTTTTTGTGCTGCAGCCCAGCCCGCGGCGCGTCCCCGACCCCAGCCGGCTCCCCCTTCCCATCTCCTTCAATGCAATGAAACCCACAGAAGAGTTCCTATCATTCCTGCTACTCTTTAATTACATGTTTGGTTGTATTTTACTGCTGTCTTACATTAAGGACTTTTGGGGGGAGGCATGTACACTGTGGGAAATGTCATCGGGCAGATGTGCAGAATTTGGATGTTATTTTTCAGATACACCCAGCTACTCACTTGGAAAATAAGGGCAGAAACAGAGTGTTTTGGGATAAACTGCACAATTGAAACAGATACTCCCTCTACAGATACACCCAGCTACTCACTTGGAAAATAAGGGCAGAAACAGTGTTTTGGGATAAAGTGCACAATTGAAACAGATATTCCCTCTGCTTCGCTGACACAAACGCTCAGTAGCTACCTTGGATTTCCAGAGCAGCTAAGGACATCTTACACCTTGGCTCCCCGCCTCCAAACCTGTCCTAGGGGTCAATAAGGGCAGAAACAGAGTGTTTTGGGATAAACTGCACAATTGAAACAGATACTCCCTCTACTTCGCTGACACAAACGCTCAGTAGCTACCTTGGATTTCCAGAGCAGCTAAGGACATCTTACACCTTGGCTCCCCTCCTCCAAACCTGTCCTAGGGGTCACTCGTTCACACAGCAACAGGAACGAGCCTGCTCTGATCAACAGCTCCTCCTCTGGCCAGGTAACCCTTGAAAAAACCACAGAACACCTTCAAATCGAGTTATTGTTTAGTAGAAATCCAGGTCCCAACTGCTCAAGAGAACATATGGAAATGTTTGCTCAATTCATTACATTTTCACACAACCTAGTAATGAAAAAAATCCCTTGTCTGTGTCAGAGCTGATTTTCATCCCTGTTGGGTCAGGTCACACAAAGATCTTTTCCTGTGCAGCAGTGTTTTAAGCTTCTCTGTCCAGTAACCTCAGCACAACCAGCTTCACACACCCCAGCACAAGAGCTCTAAAGCCACAGGGCTTGTCTGCATTGCAAGGAATCAGTGTATTAACTTACAATTCTAGAGAGCAAATTACCTTTCCTACAGCAATCTGGCAACCCCCTCCTTCGTTTAGCAGAGTCTGAGGTGCAGCTGTAACCCAAAGTCCCATAAAGTGCTGATACACTTGGTGTATTGGTGGCCCCAGGCAAAGCCCCCGGGTGGAACCAGGTGCACTTAAAGGGTTAAACCTTTACATCATGGAACGACACAGAACCAGTGCAGAATTGAGTACTGAGATTTATTCACAATTCATGGCCATGCTGCACTGGAAAACAAAGCACCAACATCTGGGTAACTGAACATGATCCAGGTATGATCCTGCATTTGGAAACCTCATTCCTCTGGGGACACACAGCTGCTGTGGCTGAGGGACTCACAGCAGGCTGGAGAGCTTCAGAGCAAGTACACAGCCCCAGGAATCCAGCACCTGGCATGCTCCAGTCACAACATCCCAAGAGAATTTATGAATTCACTGTGTCCAGTTCCTTTCCCACAAGCCCTCCAGTCTGTAATTTTCTAAAAATCCTGTTATCTCAGCACAAAATTCAAGGGGGAGGTAAAGCACTGTGGCTGTGGCCACGTCAGGAGCTTTTCCTGTTGCTGAAGAGGCAGCAGCAATAGAAATTATTATGGAATCAGGGAATCCAATCAGGGAATTTAGTATGCTGTAATGTCAGAAGTGTGGCTACAAACACATATTGTTAACATTAATGGACTTTCCAACTGCAGATTCAAAAGCCAGAATCAAACCTTAGGCAAGTATTTCACCATGTTATGAAGCTACAAGGTTTTCTGATATATGTTAAAATTTCAGTGAAAGCAGGTGAAGGGGGAAAGATGAAAAGGAAAGTTCTATCCTGTAAAACTGGCACTTTAAAGAAAAGGCCTTTAAAAAACGAAAATATTTTACTTCAGAAGTCTTAAAAAAAAAAAAAAAAAAAACAAACCCAAAAAGACAACTCTCAGTTACTCAGGTGACTAATGAGAATACATTCTGTGCAGCCCCTTGCCATGGTTTTGCATAGGAGACATTCAGGGAAGTGATGGAAAGGTTTGTTATGCAGAACCATAACACCACTACAAGCTCAGTAAGATGCCTTCCTTGTCTTTAAAAGGAATTCTGCAGCAGACAAATCACCAACAGCTCTGCACTGTGACTACCTCAACAGGTTAAACCCTTGAGCAGATGGAAGAAATGGTGGCTCCAGCTGAAACAGGTTGTGTTGGACACTGAGCCAGCCATTTCCCTTGCAGTGGGAGCAGAGCAGCCTGATTTCACCCACTGCCCTGCCCATTGCTGGGCTCCCCCAGCAGCACAGGCAGCGAGGCAGGCACCAGCCCTGGGAGCACCCACCACACTGCACACACAGCTCTGGGCTCTGCTTTCACAACAGCAAGGCAGCTCCTGTGGAGTTTACTGAAGATTTCCTCAGAGAAGCAAACTGGGCTTGTACCATTCCACACACAAAAAAATGAGCACACTGTACAAAGAGCAGCAGAGATATAATTTAAACATGCATCCAGCTACAAACCATATATACAGAGAAACAGGCCTATACAAACAGAACAGGACCACTTTATTACAATTCTGGTGGAGTTCTTGGAGGAAATCACAGATGAACAAAGTGAGACCGAAGGAGGTGGATGTTGCTTCTGAAAGTAATCTGGTTTGAAATGTCACACAACACCCCCACCTTCCTCCAGCACACATCTATCACAGTTCCAGCAGACACAGCTCTTCCCACGGCTCCTGGACTCCCTCCCTGTACAGAGGTAGATTTCTGTCCATGTTCTGATATTGCACCATGGTAAGTGTGGTTCTTATCACCAGGAACAACCTGCAAAGGCTAATTTATGTAATTCATGGCCATAATCTCATTGTGGGCATTCAGGCAGTGCAGTAAATCAAATTCATTTGCACTTGAAAGAAAACCTCCCTCCGAGTGCAGTGGTTTTAGGTAGAGGTCCAATGGAAAGCTGCAATTTTTAACAGCTTCACATTAAGAGAGCTGTTTCCTGTCAGCAGGGTGACACTTCACTGTCCTCTCCTTTTCAAACTCCCTGGTCTAGCCAATGCCAGGTCTTGCCTTGCCTCCCCTGATGCTTCATCCCATTCCCCTGTGTCCAGGTGAAATGTGCATTTTAAACACTCACAGGTTTTTGCAGGATTTCGTACTCACACAAGCAGTTGTAATATTGAAGAAATTTGCAAGAAGACTGATTCAAACTGCATGAAATGGTTAAAAAAGCCCATCCACACTCAGGCTGCATCAGGAAAGCTAGAACTTTGCTAGCTTCAAGCAGCCATTAATTGTGAACAGATCTGATGCTATCAGGAAAATGTGAAGAAGTCTGGCAGGAATCTTAATTTCTTTTGTCCATCACATTCTTGAATAAATCTCTGACAACTGGGGAAGTTGCACACAAGCTGAATGGCAGTACCACTTCACAATGTCTGTTAAATGAACCTCTATAGCATATTTATAAAAATAAGTGCATCAAAAATCATGATGCCAACATATTGTAACTCTGATGAGCTCACAAGCATTGCTCAGTATTTTTTCTCAGAGGCACCCCAGGAAGTTATTTTTTGCAGAAGTCTTTCAACATGGAGACAAATGAAAGAACAATCTGGGCAAGTTCCACTCTCAGAGAGAAGCCAAAGCATGCAGCACCACTACTCCTGGCTGCAAGCTGGGCAGAAAAGTTACACGGGAAGAAAGTTCTCTTTTTGTACCAATCAACTTATTTGGAACAATTTTAAATGAACCATTTAGCATTAGCTTCCCAGACTGAGTTCCTGTGAAGCATTGGGACACTACATCAGTAAGAAATGGTGGCTAGTTTGGAACGGAGTATTTTTTGCTGAATTATGGATACAAGGCTTATAAAAATTCATTACATCTCTCCATATACTCACTTGTCCTTTAAAAGGGCCTTTTCCTTACCAAGGTAAGCAAATCCCAAGTTACTTCATACCACCTGCATCAATACTGCAATTCTGTTTTCCTGTGTTGACAGGGACTGCAGACCTAGAAGTAAAATCACCTCACCCTCTTGGAGGAGCCCCTTTCGTGCAGTGAACCTTCACTTCAGGGAGTAACTGGATCAGGAATTCCTGTCCCTGGCAGAAAGGGCTTATGGACCTTGCAAGATCAGGCTTTAGAATGAAGAAATGCAGGATATGACAAACAGTAGAAGTTAAATGACAGTGGCAGGAACCAGGGCTTTTGGAGACTTGTCTGGTTTTGCAAAGCAATGTTTCTTCCCAAAAGAAGCCAGCTGGCAGAGCCTCCCTGCACAGAGGGCTCCAGTGCTGCAGCCCAGCACAGCTCTGCAGTGTTACCATTTGATGTCCAAGCTGCTGGTGCTTTGGCTCACTGCACTGTAGGTGGTGTGCAGAGTGTCCTGGACCTTCCTGGAGTCCGTGCCCTCCAGCCAGTCCTGGTACATCCTCTGCACGTGCAGGTTGGCTTCTGGCAGCCTGACAGGAATGGCAGTGTACACCTCTTCCATCTGGGCAAGCAGGGCTCTGTCTGGTTTGCCATCCTCAGTCTGGGCTTGGCCCTTTCCATTGAGGCACCCTTAGGGAAAAAAAAAAATTCAAAAGATGGAAGGTGATGGAGATTTGATATGAAAAGCAACTCTCTGTTAACTCAGAATTCTTTTTTCACACTTCTCTAAAGGAAGGGATTTTTTAAACTTCTTCCCACGCTGTTACAATTTGTATTTACCTAAAGTGACTCCAATATCAACTTCATCTTGATGGAAATGAGGTTTCCATATCACAAATCTTTCTCTGCATTCTCCATGGTTTTATGATCCTAATTATGTTCCTTGTCTTTTCCTGCCCTTGACAACCACCATTTCAGAGCATCCTCTGAGGTTTGGCAGTGCAGTGCTGGCACTTAGTTATAGGTCAGAAGAGAACAAATAACATCGTGACTAATTTTAGAAAACTCAATCATTTTCTGAGCCAACCCTGCACCTGTAATTGGTGTTCTGGACCCTTCAATAAACAGTGAGATTTTAGATTATTAAGAAGAGAATTAGGGAATGAAATGAAGTGCCTGCCTGTAAGACAGCTTTCCTTTGAGATTCAAGATACACGTGCAGAATTATTTTTACCTCCTGGGCAGGCAAGGACTTCTACAAAATGGTAGAAAAACTTTCCTTTTTTCAACTTCAGGACCATGTTTTGGATATTTCTGAAGCCATAAGCTGCTGCAAAACGCAGCACTGTCTCCCCATCCTTTTCAAGGGTAACTTCTTGAAAGTCCTTGTTCCTGTCAAGACAGAGAGAACATTTTAACCCCCTGCCCTTCCCAGAGGAACAATCCAACTGTGCCAGTTTGTATTCAGTTGCTCCAAAGGGAGCAGAACAACTGTAACAGTGAGATCAAGGTGAACTCTTCCACTCTCTAAACTGAGTTAAGCAGAAGTTGGGGTGGAATCTTCATAATAGAATTCTACTTAATTTTAAGTGCAGGTAAGGTTTTGGTAAAACGAGCCCCAGCAGGAGCTGCTTTACAGTGAGAGACCTGCAGGTTCAGAGCAGTTTGGAGCAGGTTTGGAGCCTGTAACTGCCTCAGAGCAGGCTAGCACTAACTGCTGCCACTGCAGCACCTCCCAAAGCAGGGAAGTTCCTGGGCTCCAGGAACCAGTTCCTTGCCAATGCCACAAGGCTCTCGGTGCCTAAGGGACATCTGGACAAAACCCTCAACAATATGCTTTAACTTTTGGTCAAAGTGCTCAGGCAGTTGGACCAAGTGACTGCTGTGGGTCCCTTCCAACTGCAAAAACCCTCTTCTGTTGTAGCTCACCATTCTGTGTAACAAGGATACAAAACTCCAGCTTACTTTAGTGCTTTGTAGGTGATCTCCTTGACATCCACGCCAAAAAGCTCCTTTGCAGCATGTTTAAAAATGTGCTCCAGGTAACCATCAGACCTCTTCCCATCGTGCCTCACTACATCTCCCTCCTTCAAGTCATCAAACCTCAGGGAACAACAAAATGGAAGGTCAGCTCCCCAATTTCATTCTTTCACTTCAATGAAGTAGTGTGTTTCTCCTCTTCTCTGTCTTCCCCACCAAAAAGTGTTTTGTAGCACTGAGAACATATTACACTTTTATTTATTACAGCTTGAAAAATGTAAATTATTCAGGACAGCGGTGAGATGATGAAAATAATTAATTAACAAAAAGATGCAGGGCTTTCCATGTTGAGAAGTATCAAGGAAGAATGCACCTTCATCACAATCTGAAGATTTTGTTAACAACAAAATCTTTTACTGCTCAAGAGCCATTTTGGGAAAAAAATATTTAAATAAAATTATTTAAACAAATGGTCATTTTTTGTCTGTAAGAATACAAAACTACTTCAGATGTTACAAGTCTTTGCTGACAGTTCTCCTGCTTTAGGAGCTGTTTGTCACAGTCTGTAACACTGTGCCAATAAAATCACACCAAATTAGAGCTGTAACCAGGTTAGAACAGTGTACACTGAAAATAAGTGCTACACTGTGGTTCAGGAGAGAAAATGGGAACTCATATCCCAGGGGCATCTCCTGGAAGTTCACTTCTCCCCAGTTAAAAGCAGCTCTGAAGAGCCCACAGTCACACAGCTGTTTTAATACTGTTTTTAGCACTTTATCACAAATTGCTGCTGGGCTGGGGCCTGTTTTAAGAGCATGATTTCAAGTTGTTTAAATTTCTCTGCAAGATCTACTTTAAAGAGCCCAGAAGAGCAAGAATTTACATCATTAGGTCTCCCAGTTGAACCAGTGTTTTGAGATTGGTCCTTTTAAAAATGAACATTATTTTCCAACATAAATTGAGGGCACTTGGCTTGTTCAGCCTGGAGACTGAGGTCAGCCATCTCCAGGGTGTGCAGCTGCTCCTGAGGGACAGCTCTGGTCTCTGCTCTGTGACAGAAGCCAGGGAATGGCTGGAGCTGGGCCAGGGGAGGTTTGGGATGGATACAGGGAAAGATTTTCCCCCAGAGGGTGCTGGCACTGCCCAGCTCCCCAGGGATGCCCAGGGATGTTGGGGTGTCTGGGCAGGGCCAGGGGCTGCACTGGGTGATCCCTGTGGGCTCCTTCCTGCTCCGGATATTCTAAGATTCTCTAAACTGAGCTCATGAACCAGCCCATTCTGAGTAACAGCTTGTCCTTCACTGGACAGGCAGGTACAGAATTAAAAGCCTGGCTCGTTGTGATTCTGATACAGAATTACATGACTGTCTCTCTGATTATTCCTACAGGAACTTTATTCATTCTCATTCTGTGTGACAGTCTCAGGTAGAAGCAATCAAAGGAGCTGCTCTACAAACACAGCTCTGAAAATATTCCCACTGCCCCACTCAAAACTTCTCCCCTCTAGGTCCAAGCAGGATTCCAGCTGGAACTGAAAAGGATTTTTCCAAACTTCCAGAGCCTTCTGTTTTGTGCAAGACAGCACGTTTATTGCTCCACTAGCAGCCCTTTGGAAAGATCCCAAGGAACATCTGCCACAGCTGAACAAAGATCAGGGAGAGCAGCCTCTGTGACTAAGTCTGAGAATTAAACACCACACAGGCTGCTCCCTGAGCCAAGCACAAGGGATGGAAACAAAACCTCTCCAATGCTTTGTGTGCTTCTCATCTCAGCACAGTTCAGTCTGAGCTGATCCTGCAAAACTGACTGCTGTCCTCAGTATAAAAACCAATTAATTACCATTTCCTGAAAGGGTGCTGCTCCTAGCAATCCACATGAACACACTGGGGAGTGGAAATTTACTGCCAGGATGCTGCTGTGCCAGAGAGGGAGCCCAGAGCAGATGGGCAGCCCCAGGACTGTGCCTGCAGCTTTGTGGGAGCTGCTGGACAGGGCAGGTCAGGCTCACAAGGAGAGCTCTGAACAGGGCCAGCACACCCAGCCAGCCACACTGACTAGCAGGGCTTGAACTTCATCCAGCCACATCTGTTATTACTGCAAATAACCAGTGTTTATCAATAAATACATAAAACCAAATAAATCATAAGTAATCCTTAAATATCAATCAGGAGCTAATCAAGTCTTCAAGTCATTATTTTAAAAGAGTTACTGTATAAGGGTCAATACCTGCTTTGTATTTAGACAGTACATGCAAATTTATATTATCTGTGTCATATTACTTTTATTATATAGCAATGAACATCTAAGAGGATATTTCTGTGGGTTTGGCCACTGTGTAAGGGTGAAGCTGTGATATACTCAGGCTTTGATGAGAAGAAAAACATTCTTCTGAGCAGTTTTACATTTATGTTGTGTGGGAAATGGGTTTATACAGAATTCTCAAAGGTTGACAGAAAACTCACATAGTGTACATCTGTATGCAAACCTTAAAATAAGAAATACTGACTTAAAAATATCATAGAATAAATCAGACATTTTTAAGAGAGAAACTGAACTAAAAACAAGTTTCAAAAGATGACCTTACAAACAAGACTAGATACTTTAGAGAAATAAAACTATAAAAATACATTGTAGTAAGACCCACGAGGAGTAATTTTAGATGACTGACTTTAAGACATTTACAACATAGTGCAGCTAAAACTGATAAACCAAGAAATGCTTATAGTGTATTATAATTAAGAAATAGTTGGCTTCTGATTGTGATGGTGTGAATTATAACATCTGTATTGTCTCACCCTTCTCATGAGACTGAAAATAGAAGAAAAAATTTTAAAATGCCTCTCAGCTGCCCCATCTGTAAGTCAAAAAAGAGCTTTATCCAACCATGTTGAATATGCTCCAACATGTCATTTGTCATCCAAACAAGGAAGCAATCCACAACAAAACTACTTACAAACTATCTACAGCTACTTCAGTCACATCTTTCATTGACACATTTTTCTGTTCCATTATCTGGACAATTTCACCTGCAGGAAAACACATGACATTTTACTTTCATCACAAAGCCCAACACACTCAGTGCCTGTTTCAGAGACAACATGCCAACACCTGCAGTGCTCTGTGTCACATTCCCCAGCTCCTCCTGCAGTCACCTCCCTGCAGGGACTGAGAAGCCTGACACTTCCTGCCCCAAAGAAAAGGAGCCTTCAGCTTCCCAGACTCTGCTTAGATCCTCAGCCTTTCTCTGAGGCCAGGTCTGGAAATATCCAAACTGCCCTGCAGGATGTTTGGACACTAAGGCTAAAGACAAGATCCTCACCAGGAGGCAACTGGTGCTATGAATGAGGAATAATTCCTAATAAAATAATGACCATAAACAAGCCAGACAATTGTTTAAAATATGGATTTGCATAACTTTTACCTTCTTTAACAGGCTGTCAAAATTCCTGATTTTTAGATGAATAGCAACTTAGAAGGAAAGGATGTGTCACCCTGCCTTTCCTGTGCAGTGCCTGTAATACCAGGAGCACAACCATATGTACTAATTTTTAAAGCAGAAAAAAGCCAACCTTGTGACTAAAGCAGACTTGAAAAAAGCAAACTCTGGCATAAAGGCTATTCTAAAAATGGTGATTCACTTATATATTTATAGATGATAAGTTTAAAAAAGTTAACCTGATGTCAGGACACAATCAACTTCTGCTGAATTATACAAGGCATTGTAGAAATCTTCCCTCAAGGCTTCCAGCTTTTTGTCATAACAAGGTGCCAAGACAACATGGAAAATTTTATCAGGAGACAAATTCTGTGGAATACAGAAGGGAGCACATGTGAACTCCATGAAGAGCAAAAGACAGCTTGAAGGATGACAGGAACAAAAACAGTGACATAAACCTCATGCAGGCAATACCAGGAATAAATCCCTACATTAAATTGAACAATGTTCACACAGGTAATGATTTGGCAGAAGTCAGAAAGCATCAGCAACCAACTTCCAAAGTCTCCTGGCTGGACCAAATTCCCTCAGACCATGTTTTCTGCAGCTTTTTGACTGCCTTAGAAAGTGAATACAAGTCAGGAGTTCAGAGTTTCTGGCTGGCACCCACTCCCTTTCACCCAGAGCAAGCCCTTCAGAATTTGTCTGCCCACGTGCAGACAGCAACCCTTCCCTACAGAACGTGCCTGTGGTTGCTTTCAGGTATGGTATGTAAAGAACAGCAATTTTTTCAACATACAAAACTGAGGAGATAAAAAGATTGGTTCCAAGGACACAATGCTTCTATTGAGCTCATACAACAGGGCAATTTCCACATTATTCTCCTCCACTCCTGTAGTGGCTGTGCTGTACAACTACACAGGCAGCATTTCACACAAAAACCCTTTAAGTGCTATGGATTTAACTTTACCCATAAATATCTAAATCCATGTTGCACTGGGAGTGCAAGGACTGCTGCCAGCTCACACTGCACTGCATGCAATGAGGTGCTTTGTGCATTCCTCTCACTTGTACAGCACAAAGCACCATTTCTTCTTCAAGTAAAGGACAAATATAATACACTAGATCTGTATCTCAGCATTAAAGCCCATCTTCTCTATTTAGAAGAATATAATGGTAAAAATAAATCAGAATTACTTACCTGCTGCCTGGCAAAGTAGCCCTTCACTAGGGAGCCCATGATCTGCTGAGGAGACTTTGCAGTGCAGATGTGAGAGGTCACCAGGTTGGTGAGTACCCTTTCAGCATAACGGATCCAGCCTGGAACCACCAGAAAATTACAGGTACACAGGAGTGAGCCACGAGCACAGCAAGTGGCAGCAGTCACACAGCACATCCTGAAAACCATGACACCTTCACAAAGGAGATGTCTGTGTGGGCTGGAAGCCTCACCTTGGGAGCCACAGGAAACCTCAGGGCTCTGTGAGCAATGCTTTAGTCAATAATTCACTGTGCCATGAACTCCAGACCAAGGTCTGCTGTGTTACCCCTTCCTCATGCACAGATTTAACAAAGCAGAAAGAACAAGACCCCAGCTAACAGAAATTTGACCTTCTAGACCTCAGCCCTTGGATCACCACATTCTACAACAAATGCACTGTCTGGCTGGTTAACTGCAGCCTGGTGCTTCCTGAGATTTAATATCCCTGCTCCCCTAGAACAGAAGAGCCACATGAAAGCATTATTACAAGATGCACATGGATTAAGCCCAGGAAAAAATGGCTTTTTTTACTATTGTTAGAGTAGCCACACCTTCAGAAACACCCCCACACTCACAGGAACCATGAAATCTCTCAGTATGCAACACTCTGTCCTTAATTCCTCAGGAACCCCCTCTCTCACCAGACCCCTTCAGCATTCCAGCTGGGGATACCACAGCACCCCAACATCCAGAGCTGTTGTATTATTCCCTAGTAAATGAACAAATCAAGGTATTTAGGGGATGCAGTTCTTTTTTAGGCCCTGTAGCTCTTAATGAAAAGCCCAGAATCCTTCACAGCAAGGGTTTGGAGCTTTATTCACCTACACTGTGCAGCAGTTAGGCCCAGCCTTCAAGGCAGGTGTGTTGCTTTTGGTGCTAAGAAATGATGAAGAAAAACCATGTTTTGTCTTTATGCAAAGTAGTGATTGCATAAAAGAGAGAAACTGCTGTGCAGTACATGCTGCCCAGGAAGGGGAAAACCTGGAGGTTAACTTTTAAGCTTGAAATTAGCACTCATGTAAAAACACCTGGTGCTGTTTAAGTCAGAACAATACCACAAATGCCAGCAGCAGCACAGAACTGGGATGCAAAGCAGTGCTCAGATGATTTGTCTTTCTGCAGCACAGAAATCATTTTCCCAGTGCAATAAGACTTTACTGATGAAAATGAGAAGATGCTAAGTATTGGGGAAACCCAAGGATCCTCCAGCTAAATATTCCCAATTCTTGTTATGCACAGACTTCAAGCTGGTTTCCATAGAAAACCTCAAAGGCACACATCCTCTTCAGCAAGCATTCATTTCTGCTGTAGGAAAAGCTGAGGACCATGGATTTATCTATTAGGACTGTACTGAATGTTTGCCTAATATCCACCTTCAACTGGGACTTCAAATTCAAGACATTACCTGCAAAAAAGCTGAATTTATTGGTGCTTGGCAAAAATCTGTATTAGCATATTCTGCATGATAGGTACATCCTGTTGCTTAAATGGCTTTAGTCTCTATTCTGTCCCAATAGAAAAAAACTGCTCCAAACAAAAAAGGACAGTTTTTAAAACACTTCTACTCAGCATTAATCACCCCAGCACTCCTGCTATGAGGCTGGTTCATATAATTGGAATATTTTTGATATTGTAGTCATGACCTATAAGGAAATTTCACTACATCCCAGGAGATTTCTGACAGGTATTGTCTGAAGCAATTCCTTAAATAGTTTCTGTCCTTGCAGTGGATGGAACAAGTGTCTTACAGCTGCAGCTCCCACAGATCATTAGTCTCATTAGTCACTGGTTAATTGTACAGGCAGCCTGGGTGAGTGAGCATTCACCTGCACTCCACACACACACACACACTGCTGTTTGTGCCCCCACCACAGGGCTGAACTGCAGGGAAAGCCTCAGACACCCCATCCTTATGTCAGGGAACACCAGCACTCATCCAGGCCTACACCTTGATAAATTAATTTGGATTCTTGGCCATTTGCTGGCTTGTGCTGCCATGAAAGAGCAAGAAAGCATTACAATTACCACATCAATTCCTGCAGCTGTAGCTCAGAACTTTATTTTTGGTGGTTTCTTGTGAGATCATGAAGATGCATGTATGCATCTGCAGGAATTGCAAAAAAACTAAGCAAACTTTTGCTACTGTAAAACCCCATTCCTGGAAAAGGAAACTGATTGACTGGGACAAAATTTGCAAAAAAACTAAGCAAACTTTTGCTACTGTAAAACCCCATTCCTGGAAAAGGAAACTGACTGGGACAAAAGCATCAGAATCCTCAATATTTATGATCTTCCTGCTGCAAGTCTGCCCCACTGGCTGTTCTGGGAGGACACAGAGGTTGGCAGTGCCTTAAAAACACCAGATCTTCCAGAGCAAGTACTTCATGTTCCTCACCAGTACATTAGTACTTCAAGTACATTAAGGAAGGGAACTGATTCTCTGATTCTTTTGAGTTATTACATATACTATCAGTAGTAACTCTACTGTTCTTTCAACAGGAAAACCCAAAGATGAGCTCACTTTCTCCCCAGAGAGCAGCAGGAGGTGAACAATTAAGACAGGGACAAGAGCACAGCTTTTCTCAGGGTCTGGACTAAGCAGGCTCTGCTCTTTGCTCATGGTAGGTGTCACACCCCAGCCTGCTGCAGAGGGTGATAGGTCTGTGCAAAGTCACACACCAAGATAAAAGAGTAAAGCATTTATACTCGAGTTCACATTGACCTTGCACCTACAGAGCTGTATAAAAACCATTTTGTGCTAAATACACCCAGTAAACAACATTTCTGGGACAAATTTATGTAATGTGGGGGTAGAAAGAGGAAGGAGAAAAATGAACAGAAAATGCACACAGACAAATAAGGACAGGAAACCAGTGAACAGCCTCATTTGTACCATGACTAATCAGGATTTTTGCTTTCTCTAATTGCTGACAAAGAAACATATCATGTTTTCAAAATGGATTTACAGTGATATTCTGGGTTAGTTTCCCAGAAATGGAAAGCACCCATGCTTCTGTTACCACCTCTATCACAGCAGAGAGCTGACACCAAAACCAGCACTGGCACCAAAAACTCTCTCGTGCAGACCACACAAGGACAAGGAAAGTGCTCCATTAACTATTTTAAAGTATTTCCACTGAGAGCAGCAGACAATCTGAGCTCTGTTTCCAGATGAAACAAATTTAAATTACCTCAGAAATTCTAAAAGAAATCCTCATGTTTTGAATTTTACCTAAAGCAAATACAAGACAAGAAAATGAAGTAATGGGGGTGTTTCAGCTGCACAGGTTTTACATGAAAAAAAGCAATATATGATATGTCTGCTCCTGAAGATAAGAGGTTACTCTAAGATAACAGTAACAGAAAAAAGAAATGTTTTTAACATGTATGTAGTAGTTAAAGCATAACCTATATATTTCCACTACAAAATACACAGAACAAACAAAAATAGAAGTATAATTCAAACAGCAGTATTTAAACTTCAAATCAATGACAACAGCAGATTCTGGGGATCACTGCAACTCATGATCACTAACGTTTCTTCAATAAATGCAATCCACTTGAGTTATTTCAAAGCTAGCAAGAAGTATTTTGGTATTTTTATCAGCCTTTTGAAAAGCAACACTATGAACTTTAGGATGGAGTTGATGAGGGTGTTAGGCAAAGGAGTTACTGCTAACTCCTTTTTGATACTTCTTTTTTAGGAATGTGACTTTTTACTTGAAAAGGTGCTGTGCTAACAATGGAAAAGTAGGCAGTGACTGCATGTTCTGCATCTTTTCAGCTGGTGCAAGTGCAGGTTCTGCTCATAACAGATCATGTTTTCAGGTGCAAGGTTCTCAGAAGTGAGACACTGAGCGAGTCAAGTCTGTGACATTTCATGTGAGAATTACTTTCCAGGTGTCAGACATATCCATCTCACAGTCATCACAAGGAATGTCACTTGCTCCTTTCCTCTAGGCTTAAGTGGCAAGTTCTAAACTCTGCTTAAGGTAACAGAGGTTGTGGTTTAATTCTATCAAAGTTCCTTTAAGATTCTTTTCAATGAGGAAATGCCCAGTTAAACTTTGTGGTCTGAACACACAAGAAGCACCCACTAAACCCCTCCATTCCAGTTCTGATTCTCAATTCCAAGCACTGAAATGCACTCAGGATCACCAGTGATGCTGGGAACAAACACTGTGTGCTTGGTGTCCCTCAAAAGCAAATCAAAAATGCTCTAAGTTATGTAAGGCTCCCAGAGGAAGCCACCCTATCCTCAGCTCCTTGGTAGTTCCAGTTTGAAGGGCAGGAAGGGTGGATAAATCAGCTCTCACCAGGGCAAGCAGAGGCAAACATTGGTAAGGCATGTTCCTCCTGGTTCCTCCGTTGGTAGCGCTGCACAAATTCCCTCTGGCTCTCCAGGATACTGAAATCTGCAGCTATAGTGGTGTCAAACACATAATGCACCCCTAGGGAAGCAAGCAGAAACAGCACTAGAATGCTTTCCACCTCACAAACCCCTTTCCAAGTTCCAGGCCTATGAAAAATCTTGAAGGATCAATATCCCTTCCCCTCTGTACACTTTCACGAACAGCAGTCATAAATAAATAAAAGCCATACACTGCAAAAACATCTCCTACATCCTGAGTTTAAAAGGACCACCAAGAGGCTAGTGCTGCCAGCAGCACTGCAAACATTCTCTGCTTCCTTCTGAGCACTTTGCACCTCTCACTTTTGGATCCTGCTCAACTGAAGAGCATGCCACGACTCCTGGGTGACACGCAGTGACTCTTGCAAAGAAATGTTCTTTCCAAGACATGCTGAAGTCACAAAAAATCATATCCAGCTAAGAGGCCTATCTGCCATTGCTCAAGTTGTTTGCAGAGCTACAGGAGCATATCACCAACAGAGCAGACCTGCTGGCTGCTCATTTGGCAACACACTCCCCATGAGCCTACGTAACACTGAGCACATCCCCACAGAAGTGAGGGTAGATAATGAATGCATTCCAGGAAAACTGGGGCCCACCAGAGCTCAGGAATGCTTTGAGATGAAGAATATACACTGGCTGCACAGATGCATCAGAAAAAACCATGAAAAATGAATATATATAGATACAGATAGAAGGAAACAGTTTATAGGTTTATTACTGTCCTTTTTCTTTCTTCAAGTAAATTTTAAAAATTGCAAACTTACAAGGAAAGTGGCTTTTGCTTTTTATCTAAAACTGTATATAATGACCAAAGGAAATACAGCTTTAACATAAAATAGGCAAATACAACAGTTCTTGTAATTTCAAATTACAGGAAAAAAAACAGAACTGAGAATCTCCTAGAGATACAATGTCTCAAAAGGACTGAAAGGAACTTAGAATAAGAATTACCTTCTGCCTCAAGTTTTACAATAATGGGAAGCTTGTGACTAAGCCCTCCCTGATTTCTTGGTAGCCAAGGCTTTGGCGGCAGCTCCACAATGTCCTTGTGTTCTGTGCCCTTTGCTGGGAGCAGGGAATGTCCCCAGCCTGTTTCTCACCGTGCTCGATGTGGCACTGGTGCCTGGCTGGAACCTCACAGAGCGAGGAGTTCAAACTCTGAACGAGGTTGTGCAAGGGCACTTCGGGACTGTTTAACAAAACATCATGGAATGGAATCCCACCACTGGTTTTGCTCAGGAGGAACCCTAAAGGTCATCCAGTGATGTCCCTGCCATGGCAGGGACACCTCCCACTGTCCCAGGTGCTCCCAGCCCCATCCAGCCTGGCCTGGGACACTGCCAGGGATCCAGGGGCAGCCCCAGCTGCTCTGTGCCAGGGCCTCCCTGCCCCTCATTTCTTCCCATTTCATCTAACCCTGCCCTGTTTCACTCCATGCCCTTGTCAAAAAGCCTCTCCAGCTCTCTTGCAGCTCCTTCAGGTACTGGAAGGCTGCTGAGAAAGCAAAACCAACCCAAATGATCCCTCCTTTTCTGCTTCACCACCATGACAAATGCAAACTTACCAAGACTTTTGAGGAAACCACAGAGTCTTTTGGCTGCTTCATTCACAGAGAGATTGAATTTAGCAGCAAAATAAGGCAATGACTGAGGGCATAGAGACACTGCCAACACTTTGTGTTTTGAGGTATCACATTTCTGGTAAGTAAAACAAAGAATAAAAAAAAAAGTCATTAAAACAGGGTAAGGCTCCTTGCTTTCCCTTCCTTTGCCATTCCTGGAGTTATTCCTTAGAGTCTCAATGCTTCAGTGGGCCACAACATTAAAAACCCTGTGAAACAACCCTCAAGTTGCAGCAGAAGAGGATGTTCCTCTGATCCTGACATTGTTCATCTCCAGTCATCTGCAGGTGTTTCTTTTCTAGAACTCAGGGGAAATCTATCCCTCAGGATAGAAATCTATCCCTCAGGATAGAAATCTGTCCCACAGGACAATTCTGTGGTTGGATTCCAGGTGGCCTAAGGAAAGTTAAGGGACATTCAGCACCTCTGATGTTCTAGTAGGATAAAATATTCTAGCAAATAGGAAAAGAGCTGTATGTTTAAACATTTACAAAGAATGTTTACAGAAGCAGGGGCGTTCAAAGCTGTAACTACAACCCAGCTAATTACACATCTGATTTTTTGTTAAGGCTCCTGTGCATTTACTGCAGTTGTTGAGGGAAAGTGGCAAGATGGGACTCTCAACAAATCAGCATTTGTAGGCACTGAGGAATCCTATGGAAGTACCCAGTGTATGGTGTGGAACTGTGCAGCTCTAATCGTGGCATTTTTCAGCTGAAGATTAATCTTGTGTTCTAGCTGGGACATTTTCCACACCAGTGGAACCCCTGGAAGACAAAGCAGGACTGCTACAGACAAGTGTCATCACCCTGCAAAGGTCAGAGCCCTCAGTCTGTACTGATCCAAATGTGGACAGTAACCCTTCAAGGACAGCTCCTGGCTGCCCCTTGCCTGTGTTTGCACCCCTGGCTGTGATGAAGGTACCTGACTGCCTTGCTGTTGTAGGATCCAGGCCCTCTTAACAGGACCCACATGACCCAAAAGATTATTTTCCCCCCATTCTCTTCTAATTTTCTTGCAAATGACAACATCATTCTGTGTGGACAGTTTAAACTCCTAAGAAAATGTAAGTACTATGTCACACATGTATTTATGGCACACATGTGTAGATCAAGAAGTTTCAATCCTAGTAGCTTTGCACAGAAGTCTGGAGCAGAACTAAAATAATTAATACCAGGTTCTAAAGATGTGAGCACTACACACAGCAACTAACTTCTAGAAAAAACAGAACTCAGCAGAAAATAAAACAGCAATAGAACACTTACAAGGTTTGCTAAGAATACAGAGAAAATGTAGTCAGGTTGAATATATATTAAAAAGAATTCTAATTTCAAGAACATGTCTTTATAGGTTTGCATAATGTGGGTATATTAGCAGCAAAACCACCCAGAACAGTCCTAGCAGTGAATGTATGAATATCTATAAACACTGAACTACAGAATAATTTGTTAGTGCAGTTATGAAATCATCACATTGTCAATAAATTTTCCTTCTGCAGGTGCAGAAACTTTCCTCTGGTGTTTACATTAAGTACTGTGGCCTTGCAACTCCAGTACAAAATTATTTTAAGTACTTTTAACGTTTTTGTTGCCTGACTTCCTCTTTAGAAATAGCATATCCTGACAAATCTTCACATTATCTGACTTGGGAAACCAAGCTGCTTAGTCACTGTGTAACTGCCTCCTCCTCACAGAAAACAGTGGGGTATTGTTTGGGTCACTTTACCTTATTAAGGTTGAGAACACGAAAGAACTCCTTCTGATTCTGTTGGAAAACTCTGGCTCCTTCTTCCAATGTCATGCAACTGTCACAAGCTAGGCAGTCGCTAAGGAGTATTTTAGCATTAGCCAATGTATCAAACTCATTTTTCTGGTGGCAAAAAAAAAGAAGTAAACAAGTATTTAATAATGATCAAATGAGTTTCAACATCTCTGCAATGAGCCAGATGAAAAGCAAACACAGTATCCCTGTTTGGTTTAAAGCAGGACAATCCACAACACTTGCATAAGATCCAAGATTATTTACAGGTAAACAAAATAACATGTTCCATCCCAATCATAGCTCTGCTCCTCCTATTACTGTGAAACTGCAAAACGTTTAAGTGTAAACAAAAACCTAAATTTAGCCCCTAGTCCATATGCTAGTAACTTAATTTGCACTGTGCTTCAGAGCTGACAGTCCCCATCAAATCACCAGGCAACTGAGAAAACTTTCCCTTGAACTGTTAAAGCTCTTGAGCCAGATGTCCCTCTAACAGCAAGGTGGCTTAGGCTTTGTAACACGAGGTAAAACAAAGAGAGCACAGTCCTGCTACTGCACTGAACATATTCTGTGAGATCAAGAGTCTCACATTCCTGGCTACAACACTACCTCAGCTCACCTGAGAAAAAGGAATACTTGGATATAAAGAATAAGTAGATATTTTGTCCACTTGTAGTATCGAAACTCCTTTTAAGTTCTGTCTCTGAAGACTTAAGAGATTTGGCATTCCAAATTTTTATTACTTAGAATTTCTGTTTTGTGTTTGCATTGTAAGGGCTTTTATTGCACCTTTTTACAAGGTTTTTGATTCACATATTAAGGGATGTCTACAAGAGCTCATAATTGTTTTCAAATTCTTGCTGTTTATTGTTATACTTAGTTAAAAGTTGTCTCCTTATAACCTTCTTTGGAGGGCACAAAAGAATATAGAGTCCAATACAGGTTTTAGAAGGAACATTACCTCTTCAGAGCCATCATTTGCACTCAGTGCATCAACAGATGCACTTTGTGTATCATCATTTTTCTGTTTTTTACTGCATTCCTGAAACAAAACATAAAACGCGTGGATTATGCAAAGCCTGTTCACCATTCTGTAAGAACACTTTTGCAGAACTGCCATTAACCAGTTAACTGCCATTAGCCACTGACAGAGTTATTTACAGTGCTCTGGAACACATGCAAAGCCGTGCGTTCAAAGTGCAGTTGCTACGATGGAAACAATTTCCCGGAATCGCGCTGCTCCACCGCTCTGAGAGCTCCGGGCGGTGTGCCGGGGCGGGGGGCTGCCCCGGGCAGGCACAGCGGAGCGGAGCGCACGGCCACCCGCCGGCGACAACGCGCCCGGGGCTCCCCGGAGCTGTCACCGTGAGGACGCGGAGCTCGGTGACCTTGGGGCCGGCGGACGAGGCCGTCCCCGCGGGCAGCATCCCCCGGTGCCCGAGGCGCTGTGCCCGCACGCCGCGGGGCGGGCAGGACCCGGCCGGGCACTCACCTTTTTGGTGCAGTTCTCGCACTTCATTTGCGGCGCGGTGCTGGCCGCCGGGGCTGCGGTGCTGGCCGCCGGGGCTGCGGGACAGGAGAGAGCGGGGCGGGAGGTGAGACCCGCGCGAGCGGCGCCAGCCCGGCCCCGCCGCCCTTTGTTGCCGCGCCCGCCCCGCCGGGCGGTCCCGGGGCGGCCCCGCCGCTCTCACGTGTCCCGCAATTCCCTCGCCCGGAATTACCCCGCAAACGCCGCCGGGCCCGGCGCTGCGGGCGGCACCGAGCGGCCCCGGAGGGGACGCGGGGCGGGCAGCGCTGGCCGACCCCGCGGGGAAGGTGCCCCCGCAGCACGGGGAGCGGAGCCGCCGCCGCCGCCGCACCCCCGGCTCTTCAGAGCCTCCCGCCCCGAGGTAACGGGAGGACGGGCGGGCACGACCCGCAGCTCATCAGCTCCACCGGGAAAAAAAAATAACGACAGCCGACAGCCCGAGTGCAGCCCGCCGGGGGGGCAGCGGGGCGCAGCGCCGGCCCCGTACCTGCCGCCGGGGCTGCGCCTGTGGCCGCAGAGCGGGCGGGGCGGCGCCGCCTCCTCCGCCGCCTCCCCGGCCGCGCCCGCCGGGCTCATTGCGGACCTGCGCCGCCGCACGTACGTCTGGTGGCACCCCCGCGCCGCTCCCCGTGCCGGTCCCCATCCCACCGGGACCCCCGGAACGCACTGATCCGCCACGCCTGCCCTCCGCGCCCGGCTCTGCCCGAGCCTTCGCCGCTTCTCTGCAGCGTCCCTGCGTATTCTTCACAACGCGCTCCTCTGTCATATCGTACAAAGGGGTTTTTTCGCCCTCGGTTTTTGCTTTTTCCTGATGGTTTTAAAGTGAAATGACACTCTGCGAGTTACTAAATACAGCATCATCACCATTTTATTTAACCAATATACTGGATTTCCCATTCCTGTAACAAAACACAAGTACCAGCGATGCTGTTCCCAGGCAGGAATCACAAATCCTCATGAACAGCATTATTAAACAGACATCAGCCTTCCACAGTCTCACAGGCCCCGGAGTATTAATCAAGATGCTTATGATTTCTTGTCTTTCTGAATCTCGGGTTGTAGGATTTAGTCAGAAAGGTTCGATCAATGTTTTGCTCCATTTTTAACCCCCGGCCACATGAACACACATGCACACGCAAACGCCTATGGCTACACAGAGAAGTTTTTCAAGTGTAAAATGACATTTTATAAACTAAACCACAGAACTTCCGAGAAACATGCAATTTCCTGCCTAAACTGCAACTCTTCTATAACACTGGGTAAATCCCCTCCTCTTACAGTGACTCCTCTAATGCTTCAACCCACAGATGGTTTTTGAGCACAGGGGCTGGAGACAGGCACAGCTAGAGAGGTTTGTTACCCAAACCCACAACTTTAAACACTTGTTCCATGTTAAGGATACTAAAGATAACCCCAGAGAAGAATGTTGTGCTTTTTTTATTTTTTAATTTGCAGGCTATAGGTGAGTTATCACTGAGGTCAGAGAAATCAAGAATTCCTTAGCTTAACCATGATGAAAGCAAACAGAAATGTTTTCATACTTACCACTTAAAGAAAAGTAAGCTGATGCTGCTTTACACATACCCTGGAAAAATATCACTAATCCTGGCTTGAGGTAAAAATTGTAATAGCTTTGGTAATAATTTTCTGTGCCTCTGCTCTCTTCATTCAAATGCTCTAACATTTTATATTAGCATATTAGCCCAAGCTTTTTAAAAGCACCATAACCACTCCTGAGCAATTCCTATGTGATCTAAGAATTTGCATTTCCTACAGACTTGCTGGAATGCAGCATTATCTGACATCTTTTTTGTTCCTGTGGATGAGTATTTTCATACAAGAAAAGCACCTTATTCCACTAGGATACAACAGCTATAGCTGCATTGACCTATAAGGTGATAGATGAAAAGTTCTAAATTAAAAATGTGGTGAGATTTACACTTAAAGACACAGCTAACATCTTCCTGTTTCACACTCTGATTATACTTACATTTATTATCCAAAACTAGTGATTCTTCAAAAGACATGTCAGTTTTTGTTATTTCTGTAACTGCACAGATAATATTTAAAATATTTTTTATTTCACAGAATCACAGAGCAGTTTGGGTTGGAATGGACCTTTGAAGCTCATCCAGCCCAAACCCCTCTTCCTCTAGACCAGGTTGCCCCAAGCCCCATCCAGCCTGGCCTTGAATGTTTCCAGGGATGGGAATCTCTGGTCAATTAAGTCATCTGTTAACAGGACTGGATTAAACACATTCTTCTGCACATCATCAAGGGGCAGGAGACTAAACTTCCCCCCATATTTCTTGTATGAAAAACAGAGAACTGCAGAGAAATGGAAGCATTTTGCAAGAATATTGAGGACATCTTAGGTACATACATTAAGTATCCCTATTTCATCCTTCATTTTAGGAATACTTGGATTTAACTTATTTCAATTTAAAAATGCAAACAAAAAGAGCTAAAACTTATAGAAACTGAAGAGTGTGCAAGGAATCTCTGTTTCAGTGCACAGTATAAGATTATATTTGTGACATCATTAGATAATTAGATGTCTCATTTATTTTATTGCCAAGAGCACTCTGTGCTTTCCATGAACTATGGATGCCATTTTCCCACAGAACAGTGGATCTTTGATCAAGCCTCACAGTATGCCTGACAACCTGAGACAAGAAAGCACTATCCTGCTTTAATCTGGGGAGGTGACACTTACCACCTTTGCAGGGCTGCTTCCCAAAAGCCTCACTCCCTAAAAGCTTTCCTATGCCAGCACTCAAAGGCATCGCTTCTTTTATGGCCACTGTTGATGTATTTGGCCTCCATGTAACATTCATCCCTGCACCTGAAGCATTTACACCCTAATGAAATGGAGAAATAAGAATTTCCCTGTGAAAACAAACAACTGCAAGGGTTACAGGCTTTGCATGGGTGCTGCAGGGCAGTGCCAGCTCTAAGTGCCCCTTGCCACCGTGACAGCACATGGCACTCCCCAGCTGTCAGAATTGGGCAATAAATCTTGGCTACAGCTGGTGGACACGTATTCCCTGCAATCTGTGCTCTGCAGGCTGCACACACACTGTTCCCAGCGAGGTCAGGGGCAGCACAGAGAGCTCCTCCTGCGGGGTGAGCTCATTGCTAACAGGACTGGCAGCCAATGCTCCAGCCAAAGCCTTTGGGGGCTGCTTCCAGGCAAGCACTCTGGGGATTTATCCTGGCATGTCTGTGAGATCACATGCTTATTGCATAGCTGAATCCCTGAGTTTAAGACCTTAGGGAGGAAAAATAAATATAAGGAGTTAGAAAAGAATATTTAGGGAAATGGTCTGAAATAGGAAAAAGCACCAGAATTACAGACATGTCAAACTAAGTAAAAATAAAGGCCAGTTCTGTTCTAGTTACATGTTCTTGAGTTTAGGTCAATGACTTAAATGTTGAAAGTGTGTTTACTACACAAATAGAACATAAACACTTCCACAGCATATATTTTTACATTGTTGAGGAAGAAGTCTACAAATAGTCAATCACATATTCCTGAATTGTTTATTTTGGAAAATAGTTTTTGTTTCTGCAGCACTGGTTTGAAATTCATGCTGTTCTTTAGGTCTAGAGTCAGGCTTCCAAAATATTCCTTCTTCCTTTTCTATTGGTAGGCATAACAGCACTCACCTACTTTAAAGAGCTGGTGTAAAATCCCCAGATTTTAGAAAAAATGCTGTAGGAATCATTAATGGATAGCAGAAGCTTACAAGGATCCTTGCCATATTTATTTTGATTGTGCATGTATGTGGTATTCCCATGGCTGAAAAAATTTCTCTGTAACTCAATAATTAAATTAAGTCACATCAGGTTATCCTAGTGTGACCTTTGAAGAGCTGCAGAAGTGGAGAGTTGCTGATATTTTTGCAGCTAGTAACACAATAATAAAACATATGCTGTGTGGTTTATGCCGAGTGGAGGGACAGATGAATTCCTTGCTTATTTCACTCTGCTCTAGACACAAGAAACCTTTTGTCTTGTATCAATCAAAACAGCTTAACATTTGGTTTCCAGAGAAACCAGTTGCTTATAAAAACTGATTGACAGCTAATTAGACATAAATTTCTTCCCAGAAGACTCAGTCAGCTGCTTGTTTGGGCTGAGCACACGTGATACTTATTACTTCCTATTTTTCATCCAAATCCAGCAGCTGGTACCTTGTGACTCACGAGCAGGCCAATTCATTCTTGCAGTTCCTCACTGCCTTTTCCCATTAACACTCTTACACAAAAACTGCACATCAGCTGGTATTTTCCAGTACTTACACTTAAATGTCTGTACCATGAACTCTAGGGTGTTTTTTTCCCTATCTTCACTCTAGAATGTTATGAAAGTCACTGCTCAAAATCTCAATTTGCCAGAATAGCGTTGAGAACAGCTGAACAAACTTCTAGCATGTCATGGCCCTGAGCAAACACTCCAGAATATATTCATGTTTGGAAAAAAAGCCAAAATTTGAGGATTTCATCCAGGAAGGACAATTCTGTGCAACTGAGAGAGGACCAAATATCATGTAGATGAAGTCACACACTGACTTAGAATAATTTAAGAAGTTAAGTTAAACTACAGATGTCTGCACTTCACCCATCCTGCCTGACATAACCAGTTGCTCTAATGGATTGAACAGGAACAGCTCTCCCATGTGAATGATGTTTGACTGAAACACAAAAGATTTTCCAAATGCAGCCTATTTGTCCACAACAGGAAAATTACTCTATATTTCAACTGAATTAGAAACTTTCCTCCCCAAATAACAGATTTTCAAACCCAAGCCTTCAGCTGACATAAAATTCAGAAAACTCATGACATCAATGTTAGGCCTGTAAGATTATGACTGATATTTCTGCTTTGCAAATATAAGTGATGTCCAGGTGTTAGAAAAAACAAGTTATTTGTTGGTGAAATTGCCTTGTTAAAGTCTAGGACTTGATAATGCTTTAATGATTTCAGACCTAGCAGAGGCTAACAAAGTCTGAGAAAAAAGGATGCCCACTGGCAGTGGACACAAGAATGCAGAATTTAGGGACCATCTGGCAAGAACTCCCAATATGAGGAAAAAACAAATGAAGCCAACTCACCAACTGAAATCAGCTCCAACTGGGTAAAAGGGAATTCTGGCAGGTGGAATCTGCAACCACTGACACAAGAAACCCACCTACAAGAAGGAAAGACTGAGCATGCAGACTTAGTAGCATGTCAGGTGGATCATAAACCAATAGAAGGCAGAATACTAATTATTAAGAGAACTATGTAACTTGTAGGCAGTGAGCAGTAATGTCTTTATTTGCTAAAATGTAGTTAAAAGCTTTGGTGTGCTTGATCTGTGGAAACGTCCACCTTGCATCCTGTGCAGAATAAACAACATCTCCTTCCCAAACGAAACTCTGTGTTTAGAGCGCTCCTAAAACGGGCAGCACCTCTCTGCAGCCATTCCAACGCCACCTGGACGCGTTCGAGGCGTGTCAGCAGGGGTCGGACTGAGCGATCTCCAGAGGCTCCTTCCAACCCCAAGTGTTGTCATTCTGCCAGAGCCCAGGCACAGCACCAGCGCTTTTGTAGCAGTGCTGCCATTGAGAACCCAGAGGTTTTCTGGCCTCAGCAGGAGCTGTCCCAGCCTGGGGACAGTCCCCAGGGCTCCCCTGCCCTCCCCGACCCCCTCATGCAAGGGGCCATGTCCACCTCACCCATCGCGGGTCTGTCCAACTGAGTCCACTAAGGCTCTCCCACACAGCCAGCCTCACCCTACAGCAGCTCACTTCTCTCGTCACGCTACGTTTCTGCTCTTTCCAAGCACCACTAAAGTACAACAACAAAGCAAAGGAAACATCGACGCTCTTACTTCAGCAGCATCCGCGGGCTCGGGCGCCATGCTGAGTACTGGCGGCGCGCCGCCATCTTGGCGCGGCGCTGCCCTCACGGGCGGGGAAGGGAGGTTCATGTCCCATCCTCTGCCCTCACCCAAAATGGCCGCGGGCGCGTCCGTCCATCCCTGAGGCGGGACCAGCGCTGAGGGCGCGGGACGCGGAGGCGGCCGCGGGTCCCTTTAGAAGGCGGCTGGAGGCCGGGCAGGTACGGCGGGCACGGGGCTGGGCGAGGGCGAAGGGCGGCCTCGGGTTCCCCACGCGCGGGAGACAGAAGCCGCGGGCTGGGTGGGTTCTGGCAGGGCCGGTCCCTGGCTGGGGAGGGTCTTCCTCTCCCTGAGGGGGAGACCAGGCTGGGGTGGGAGCAGGTGCAGGGTTGGGAGGTAAAGAAAAAATGAGCTCTGTAAAGAAAATTCAGCTGATGTGCGGTCCTGACTTGATGGCTTGATTTCAAGGGGTGCCTTCCAAGGGATTTTGCTGGCTCGCCCTGAACAGAGAGCTTGGAGGAAGCATGAGAATGTTATTTTGATGCTGGAGATCAGTTCAGTGTCAAACCAGACAAATTCAAGCAAAATTGGGGTTTGGAATTTGAAATGAAAGAGCAGCACAAAAATTCCTCTTTCTCTGTAATCATAACGTTGTAGTAAAACTTTAGTGTTTGCTTTAGGGTGCGTTTATGATTTATTTATTTATTAAATGTAACTTTAGAAGCTGCTTTGGTGCTTTTTGTTCGAAGGTCCATCTCTTGCAAGCAACAGCCTGTGAGAGACAATGCCCTGATGTTGGGTGTCCAACATTAAACCAAAACTAGCATTTGCCTGCTTGAACTTCCCTAAATTATTATGGGGGGAGAAACCAAAGTTTGCATTAATAACTTGGCTGATATGTGTGAGGATTATGTTCTGAGTAGTAATATTTGTTAAATACAGTGAGATTTCTGTAGTGATCTCGATGTATTTCATAACTTGGATCTGATAACAGGCAGGAGAAGGCATTGTGCATGCTGAAGTATTTTCCGGTGTGTTGAGAGCAACTCACAGGAGTCATTTGAAAATTAAAATTTGATGCTTGACATCCGGAGGAGATGGAGCATGTCTTATGCATAAGTGCTTTTGGCTCTTTCGGTTTCAGATGCTTTCAGATGTGTTGCTAAGAGATTAAAATCAAAGTCGTGGGTGCTTTTTGTTTAACTGAAAAGACCTGGCTAAATCTGCTCCTCTGGAGCTTTGTTTCCAAACTGCCAGATTTGCAGGAGCATCTTCTTGTATCCAAGAGCAGCTGGATAACTAAGGGACTGAAAATCACATATTTGCCTTTTGTGAGAAGTGGATGTGCTCAGAGCTGCTCTCTCCATGTTTGTCATGGTTATTCAAAACCTGATGAATGTTGGCATTTTCTGGAAGCCTGTTATGGTGGGCAGCTAACAGCAGCTTAATGCCAGCCTCCTTGAGCTGCTTCTGTGGGACAGGCTGCCCAGGGAAGTGGTGGAGTCACCATCCCTGGAGGTGTTCAAAAACCACGTAGGTGAGGTGCTTAAGGACATGGTTTGGTGGTGGACTGGGCAGTGCTGGGTTAGTGGTTAGGCTTCATGATCTTAAAGGTCTTTCTCACCCGAAATAACTGAGATTCTATGCTGTGAAACAGTAAAAATGTACTGAAAATGCTGCATGGGATTACCCAGCTCTTACTGGTTTTTATTAGTGCCTGTCTTTTAGTCTGTACTGTTTCTGCCTAGGCTGAAGGCATGGTCTTGTTGAGGACAGACAGACATGTTGGAAGCTCCTGGTTGTGTTCCTGAGGTGGCTTGGAAGATGGGAATGCCGTCTGTGGCATTATGGGATGGTGGCAGTGCTTGGCTGTATCCCTTCCTGGGATGAGACCCCATCCCAAGCATCCCAAGGCTGCTCTGTCCTGCCCCAGCTCCCAGACTAGCCCTTCACACAACCTCTGAGCTCACAGGGAAAATGCTGTCAAAGAGATTTCCATTCCCCTTGCTGTTTTATCTGTTTGAAGGGCTGCATGAATTAGCAACAACATTGTTCCGCATTCTTGTTTTTCACATTTTTCATCTGGAATCTGATTATAATGGAAAGAGACTTTTACCCCTAAAATGAGAACTTTCTTCCCAGAGTTCAGATTCCTCTTGCTGTTATGCAACTCTCGACATGACAGTTTTACTTTGTGGTTGTTTTCAGTGCACATATTGCTCTTCCTGTCCAAAAAGACTGTGTTCTTACCTTGGAGTATCTTTTATAGTCTAGATTAAGACTTGGTAAGTCTTGCAAGGGGGGCTGGTGAAGTAGTCAATCATTGAATTTTTTTTTTCTTTCTTTTTTTTTTCCTTTTTGTTTTTTTGGTCCAGTGAGGTTTCATGAGTCAAACTGGGCTGTTGGGAGTTTCTTTTGAAGATGTACATGTTGGTTGAAAAACGCACAAATTCCCATCTTCACCTGAAGAGGTCACCTGGCATCCGATCCTGGTCTCTCTGTGTTGGTAAGACCACAGCATTCATTTCAGAGCTTGCTTTAAGGGAAGAGGGTCACAGTAAACTCCTGACAGAGCCCCTGGTGAAATGCCTCCTTCCAGGCATTTTCCTTTCCAGAAGAGGAAAGATTGTGCTTTGTACTGTTCCTTTCTCATCACCACTAAATGAGTCTGAAGCCTCAGCGTGGCAGTTTCACTGTGAGACTTTCAGTCTCATCTGGAGAACCTCAGAAGCTCATGGATGGAGTTTTAAAGGAGTCCTGAAAGATCCAAGAACAGAAGGTTTATTATGTGCCATGCAGCAACAGAAGTGTGAAGCTCCTGCAGGGGGTTTTAGGGTGAGAAACATCTCAGTTTGCAGGAGTGGAAAACTGCAATGTGACCATGCTGGGTTGGATCGTGTGTGTGGCTGGTGCTGAGCTCCTAGGGACTCGGTGTGAAATGGGAAGTCATACAGGATGTTCTGAAAGGCATCTTTATAAACACTACTGAATATGCAGGAAAAATAAACTTGTTAGGATTGTAGTGAGAGAGCTGCTGGGGAAAATCTGGTGTATCCTGCTTTCCAGCTGAGCAGATGCCACTGCAGTAACACCACGTTGTCATTGCTTTCAGGGATATTGCTGAGAACATCTTTGCATTTGCAGCAGCCTCTGGGGCATGGGGCACTCATCAGCTGCTTCCTCCTCAGAGAAAGGAGCTAGCAGTTTCTGACACCACTGCAAAAGTTGTCTTTTGGCTCCATAGACCACTTTTGAGGGGGACAATAACCATTGCAAGGTTTGTGTGAGCACTCCAAGTAGTACTGTGCTGAGAAGAAGTATGGAAGTGTCATGGTTCGATTGAGTCTCTCCGAGGTTCTGTTCCCAGTTGTGTCACAAAATTTTCATTTTGGACCCTAGCCCCTGTGCAGAATGGAAGTTTTTTTAATACTGAGAGAAAAAAATAACTTTCATACAGTGGTCTATGTTGCAGTCACATTTATCCTGCTTTTGAAAGGTGATGTTTTTCATCAGGGAATTTTAGATGTTTTTTGAGCTGCTTATTTGTCTTAATTCTCTCCTCTTTCCTCCTAGGAATAGCCTCCATAGGTTTGGCTGCTGCTTATTATAGTGCAGGTAATGGCCTATCACTTTTTTTGGGAGAGTTATTTCTTTCCTGTTAATCTGTTTTTCATGCTGATGACTCATCTGCAGCTTCTGTCTGGCCCTTCAAAGGCAGTGGAGGTTCCTCTCCCACTTTGTGGTGTGAATATTAAAACCAATAATAACTGTTTCCTCTATGGCTTACTGTGCTTTAGTGCTCTATTTCTTACTCAGCCTCCTTTTCCATTTGCAAGTATTTTTAATAATGATATTGGTACTCTGTGGCATTTTGTACTTTCAGTGTTGTATAAATGTGATTAGCTGGTCCTCACAGCCCTCCTGGGAAGACATGTAATGATTATTTGACACCATAATGAAATGATTACTTTGCCTGTGATGAAGTTCTCTGTTTCTCTGGAAACTGTCAGATCATCACTAGCAGAGATTACTCATCCAGGCACCTTCAGGGATGAGACAGCTTCTGCTGCTTCCTCCCCCTGCAGTACAGCAGCCTGCACCAAATGCCAGCTGTCTTTCCATCCATGGGATTTGTCCTGCAAGCTGCCCCGTGATTCTTGTGCTGCATCCTGTTAACATCAAATGTTAAAACTTAGTAGTGTGTAGGAATGTGCTCCCAATAGAACCCACATATTTTTATTTAAGGAGAAGAATGCAGTGAAAGCTGCTTGAGCCACCAGCTAAATCAGCCTTGTTTTTCTTAAAAGGTTGCAACAAAATTTTCTGAAATCCCAGCACAGTTCTGCTGTGCCTTCAGTTAAAAAGCCTGAGTGAGCAAATAATTCAGGCTGTGACATGTAAACGTTTTCAGGACATGAAATGCAAATGTTTGTTTGTCAAGAGGACCAACTGCTTCCTTTTGTGCAGAAACATGTTTGCTTTATTGAATTTTCATTGTCCTTATCCTTGTCCTCTGCAGCACAAATATTTGGTGTTTGACAGCAGGTTGGCAGTTTTGTGATTGCCTTTTAAGATGCCTTTGCTTATACAGAAGAGAAAGATGTGAAGTTACAACCTTGCCAATAATACATATGCTTATAGTTCTGCATGGTTTGAAGCCCAGCATGAATGAAGTCTCTGAAAAGTGTGAAGACTTGCTGTATTTTCATTCTGGGAAGGAATGTAAAATAGCTTGTAGTACAACTAAAGGCAAAAATATTCCATTAGAGAAACCTTTGCTCCTTTTGTTGCTTTTAAAGGGAGCACGTTGCTTTCAGGATTGTTTGAATACCAGAGAAGGGGGGGGGAAAGCTAAATTTGTGCATTTTTTGCATTGTCCAGACAGCTTGGCATGGAAGCTCTTCTACATGGCTGGGTGTTTCTTTGTGGCAGCCCAGAATCTGGAGCAGTGGGAGGTAAGATGCTGAGCTCAGGAAATGAGGGTCTGTGAGTAGGAGCAGTTGGCAGATGCTGATTCCAGCACACACTTGCTCAGTCCAAACAGACAAGTTATGCTTTTGGTTTTGAGGAAACCCTCTGGCTTGCTCTGCTGGGACTAGAATTAGGGCAGGAATTCTTTGATTACACAAGTATAAAAATGTGAAGCTAAATAGATGGGTATTTTTAAGAGGAGACTTGGCCCAAAGTGTTCTCTTATATAAAAGAGGGAGGATGACCAGGACATTCAGCTGCAGAACATGATTTTGAACTTAGCCTTCAAGCTAATGATGGAGCAACCACTAAACAAGGGAGCTCTGAGCTTCCAGGCTGCTCAGCTTTTTTCCTCTGGTTTGAATTCTGTGGATGTTGATTTGAGAGCAGTAAGCCACATTGTCACCCTGCTGACCTGAGTTGTGTTAGAATGAGCAACTCACCTAAAGAGAACGAGATCCTCTTTTCATTGATTAATATGAAATTTTATTAATATCCCAAATCATTAATATCCATTTTCTTTGGGATATTTGAGGTCTGTGTAAGCCTGGCCCATGAAGCACAGCACTGGGATGTCAAATTCACCAGAAGTGAAAATTATAGGAGTTACAAGTTAGTGTTCAAATTTGATTCCAGGCAAAGTTTTTATTACATGAGGAATGTGGCAAGAGGGAAATGAACCCACTTTTTACTCCCTTCTAGAAGTCACACAAGAGGTATGGTAAAGTTTCTGTTAAAACAAAGAGGAAGATCATGATTTTCATGGTCTAGTAATAGAGGAATGTCTCTAAGCTAGCTGTGTATTTTTCTGTTATCAAGATTATTTTCCCACAGAACTATTTTTATTTTACTTTGAAGCATAGCTAGTGATGGTGTTTTCAAGAAAATCTTAATTTTTATTTTTCAATTTTACAGGAAGCTGTATTTGATAAAAACAAGGGAACAATCTGCCTAAAAACATTCAACCTCTACAAAAAAATACTGACCTTGTCAAAAGGAGGCAACGAACAAGGTGAGAAAGCAGCATCTGTGGTAGAAAATGTGGTGAGCAGCAGAAGAGATGGATGTGTGCCCATTTAATAGCTTCTCTGGAGTTCTGTACTCAAATTAAGTCACATCTGCTTCCAGATCTGCTTTGTTCCCAAGCAGCAGATGTAACAATCTGCCTCTCTGGGCCCAAATGCTTTTTCTCAGTGTGCTGAATGCATCTTGTTAATTATTTTAATCCGAGGTAAGTAGGCCTACACATTGCTTTCCATAATAATCTTGGCCATTCCTTTGGGATGTTAATGTGTTTGCCTTGCTCTTGGCTAGCCTGCTTGGCAGCTGGGACTGGTGGAAAAACTTCAATTTTGGATCCAGAAGTTGAGATTCCTGTAATCTCATCTGCTTAGGGGAGCAGGCAAAGGATTGATACCATATGCAAGCAGGCATGTTACATCCTGCAGGTATAGAATATGCATTTAAAGCAGCCTGTGCAGGAGGCTCAGTTTAATGCAGGATCTGATGGCCTTTGGGCTTCCTCTTGGACTAAGAGAAGTTGCAGTATAGCCTGTGAGTTGGTGGAATCATGGTGGTGAGTTGGTGGCTCTGTTGCAAACTGGGATCTCTATTCTGTTGCAAAAGTAGGATCTTCTTCCATGTCAGAAGTTTTTGTTCTCAGACAAAACTGTAAATAGAACCAGCTCTCAATAAGCTCAGAAGAGTGGCCAAATCTGGAATGACCTTAAGCTGAATTTGTTTTTAAAGAGCTCATTTTGGAGATGGAAGATAAAACATGTGGAGAGAAGGCTGTTTCATTGAGCTTTCCTTTAGGATACATGTTTACAGTGGGGAGCTGAGGCTCTCTCTTCCTCTGTGGTAATACCTGGTTTAGGTACCATTCATCTGAGCATGCAGACATCAGCAGGTGCTCTGAGCTGTTAAATATTTCAGTATTTGTTCAATCTCAGTAAACTGAACACCTGTTTGCCTATTCCATACAGCAAAATAGTTCTAATTGCCATTAAAGTAAGTGGGAAACAAGTAATACTGGCTTGCTCCCCAGTGCCTAGCTGGCTGTACATTTTGCTTAGGGCCTATCACAGCTACAATGTGCTGCAGTCATGTTTCTTCTGCCTGAGCAGCTCAGCAGCTGTTTAGATGCCTAAAGTTTAGCTTTTTTTATTTTGCAGAATCTGTGCTGCTTTAGTGTGCACTTCTGAGCTTCGTATTAGGGGATGGTGAGCTCTCTTCAGAGTAGGGAGACAAAACAATTCCTGCTCTAGCTGGGGACCAAGGACAGATAATCCAAATTTCAGGCCCAAGAGCATAAACAACAGTAGACTGAAAAGAGAAAAACAAGCAGGATGGGACTCCATAACCTAAAGCTGTAATTAGACAGCTCCAATATGCAAATGGAGCAGAACTGATCAAATGAGAGACCCCATGAGCAGTCGTCCATTTTGTGACCATTTGGGTTCATCTTGGGTGCAGCCCTGGCTGGGCTCTTGTGCTGCCCGAGGTGGATCATTGAGGCCTTTGAATAAATACCTAAGCAGAATAAAGTTATTCTCGAGCTCCATCTAGCCTGTGTTCCAGGTCAGCTTCCACAGGGCGTCCGTTTGCCCTGGCTGTGCGGGATCGCAGCGGCCGTGCCCACGAGCAGAGTCCCTGTCGCGCTGTCGCGGTGTGACCGTGGCAGCGCTGAGGCTTTGCAGTGATGCTGTCGTGTCCTTCTGCGCAGTGGTGGCCGTGCTGGGCGAGATCCGCGACGTGAACGTGGAGGAGGAGGCCGTGCGCTATTTCGGGAAGGGTTACCTGGTTGTGCTGCGCTTCGTCACCGGCTTCTCGCACCCGCTCACCCAGAGCGCCGTGCTGGGCTGCAGGAGGTGAGGGGGGCTTGGGAAATGAGAGCCTGCGAGGTGCAAATGCCAATCACCTGGGTCGGTAATTGCCAATTAGTATTGATGCCTCGAGTTTTAGCTTTGCTGTTTTTCAGATTCTGTGCTGCTTTAGTGTGCGCTTCTGAGCTTTGTATTATGGCATGGTGAGCTCTGTGCACAGAGCAGGGAGACAAAACAATTCCTGCTCCAGCTGGGCACCAAGGACAAATGATCCAAACCTCAGCCCAAGAGTACAAGCAGCATGGACTGAAGAGAAAAAAAACACCAAGAAGGATGGGAATTCATGAGCTAAAGCTATAATTGGACAATAACTCCAATATGCAAATGGAGCAGAACTTATAAATAAGTGCGAGACCCCATGACTGGTCATCCATTTTGTGACCATTTTGGTTCATCTTGGGTGTAACCCTGGCTGGGCTCTTGTGCTGCCCGAGGTGGATCCATCAAAACCTTCTAATAAATGCCTACTTTATTCCTTAACTCTAGCTAAGTTAACTCTAGTCTCTGGGTTCTTGTGCTGCCCAAGGTGGATCCATCAAAACCTTCTAATAAATGCCTACTTTATTCCTTAACTCTGCCTAGTCTCTGTCCTAGGTCAGCCTTCTCAAGGCATCATTATAACTAAGCTCAGTTTTTAGACTTGCTGTTATGACCTTGTGTTACTCAGTTTAACCTTTTAAACCCCATAATGTTTTCATTTGCAGACATTTGGCTAACACCATCTGTCAGGATCATGTTTAAATATCTAAGATCCCTTTAGTGCTGGAGTTGCCTTCCTGAGCTATGCAGTGGCAGAGGGGATCAATTCTACTTTGCAAACATTTGGTGTATTAGTTAACAAAAATTTTTTCTTAAGCATTGATAATAAGGAACTTGCAGCAGGCACTGGGAAAGGACTGGTTTGTTCTGATGTGAGGGAATGGCTTGGTGTGGCATGCTGTCACCAATACCCTCTATGCCCGTATGACTTTCCTTCTAGGCAGTTATTTTCAGGAATTAGCATGCCTGCTCTTCTCTTGTCACCACTACAGTTCCACTAACTCTTCCATTGTTTCTTCTTTTCCACAGTGATGTGGAAGCAGTTGCCAAACTCATTACAAATTTTCTGGAACTGGACAGAGTAGAGACCCCGCAAGATTTCTCCCAGAGCAGCGAAACAGAGGCAAGTGATGCAGATGAACCCACAGGTTAAATACTGATAGTCATTGTGAACTGAAGCAAACAGAGGCTTTCACACATTTGGAAAATATTCTGATTGTTCTTCAGAAAAAGAAACCCCTCACAACCTTGACCTGGGCATTTCCCAACGTGTGCATTTACAATGGGTGGAATCTCTTGTAGTTTAGTGTTAAACTGCTTCAAGACCCTGCATGTGGACACTGCTGGCTTTTGGACTTCTGTCACGTCTTCAAACTTGTCTAGGAATAGTTATTTATTAATGAATTGGTTCGAAATAATTGCTTTTCCATTAATGAAAATACAGATGTGAACTTCTGCTTACTGCAAACATTTGCTGCAGGTACAGTATATGCAATGTAGAAGAGTTGAATTTGTAACTCATAGCACAATGCTTTGAGGTTTCCCCTTTAATATATGCAATTAGGAGATGCAGAGTAGTGGCACTTTTATGTTCTCTACTACTGACTTGCCATTGGATATCTGTGGAAATTAAAGTCTGAGTGCCTCTCTTGGAATTTTAAACATCAGGTTGATCAACTTGTAACGGTGTCTTAACTTATCTCAGACTCACCAAGGAGCTGTAAATAGGAAAGGAAAAAGGATCATGATGAAATTTCTTTGGGATGCTCTACCTTAATCCTGTTCTGAGCAGGACAGAGCAATCTTTTTCTAGACCTCAATGTTTACTATTTAAACTATGTATTTAGAAATTAAGCAGGGACGTGTGTAACTTTAGGTAGGGAACAGACTGATGTCAAACAAGGTGGTAGCTTAGAGTTGTTGAGTATTTCCTCACTTGAAATGATTCCGAAGTGCTGAATAAGAACTTTTTTTAAAGTAGGTAGCATAGACTAAATGTCTGACTTGTACCTGTGTTTTACTCCAGGTATGTGGTGTCTTCTGTTCTGACCAACGGTTTCACAAATAGTTAAAATATAAATTTTTTCAAGGTATTTCTGAAGTAAAAGCTACCTCTCTTAGTCAACATATTCTGTCTAGAGCTAGAACTCCCATCATGCTCACATTAACATATCAAGAAAAAATTGTAAAAAGCTGCAAGTTCCTTCAGCATGCTACAGCTGCTTGTACTGAAGTTCACTAGGTTTTATTTAGGAATCTTACGGTCTTTAGATTTAGAAAATATTTACACAGTTACATCTAGGAGATGTGAACAGGGTACGAGGTGACTGTGTTGTCTGCTTTCACTGTTGGCCAGCGGCAAATGTCTCCTGTCAGCAGTTTCTTCAGAATTTAAAAGAGCCTGTGTTCTTGTTTCCAACCACTCTACCTCTACAGAGAGAAGGCTCTGGAAAGTTCTTGGTAGAAGGCACATCCTGTTGTGTGTTCAGTTTGGTCTGAAGCTGAGCACCTGCTCATCAAAGATTTCCCTTCCAGCCGTTCAGAGCCAGGATGTGAGCAGAGGCTGAGGCTGCTGCTGTCAGGGGAAGGTGCTCACACTGCAGCAGGGTTGATGGCTGCTGGTGTAGCTTACCTGCAGCACAGAACTAGGTCAGTTTCCTTTAAATGAGGTAAAAACTTGTAATCATGTCAGGTATTGGTACAGACCTCTGCCAGTGCATGTTCCTAAAAGTCCTCTGAGTTGTTGGGGCTTTTGGTGCCTACCCCACACCACTGGAACTGGGAAGCTGCCGTGTATGAACGTGGGAAAATTAGGTTGCAGACAATTAGCTTAATTTGCCTTTATTCTCCAGCACAGCTGTAGGCTAAGCATAATCATCAAACCTGTTTAAAAAGTATTGCAGGGTGTAACACTTTGTAGAGTTCCTCATTTAAATGCACTGTAATGTATACCCCAGGTGATGCTTATTTTAGAGAGAGGAGAATGAGACTGGGGATTTGGAGAACTCTTTTTTTCCCCCACAGTGTAAAATGAGAATGGTGAGTGTTCTAAGGACTTGCAGTAGGAAGTACTGTCCTAGAGTATGTGATGGTACAGTGTAAGCACAAGGGCTCAGTCTGTGGCAGCTGTGCTTTGTATCAGGGATACTCAGAGGGCATTGTGGTGTGCATTGCACTTACTCTGAGCCCGTGGAGTGGACCATGGATAAACCAGACAAACTACCTGCCTTCAGTCTCAGCTCTGTATTTCTTTTGTATTCCCATGAGAGCTGACATTCCATGGAAGATATAAGCCACACTGTAGTTCTCCAGTTAAAAATTAGCTTTTGAGAGGTACATCTGCTGGTCTGACCCTGCACTGCATCCTGTGTCCTGCTTCTGCTGAGCTGCAGTGCATCCAGCTTGCTGTGCATTCATGGTGTTAGTCATGTCTACACTTACAGACTATGCAATATCTGAGACAAAGACTAAAACCATGGGAAGAAATTGAGAATATGGAAAGGGGAATGACCTATAGTAAGGTACAATGTAACCCGAAATACATGCTGTGGAGTAAGCTGTATGTTGGGCTGATGTCAGTGGCCAGCTCTTTAGAGGTGTTTCCCAGTAGCCTCCTCACTCCTCATTGTCCTGCTGTGTCAGGAGAGGGATGGCTGCTGCCGTGCACTGTCTGGGAGGAATTTTAACTCCTGAGCCTTTCCCTTGGCCAGCTGGTGCCATCCTCTCTCGTGCCGTTTCCAGTTTGCATTTGGCAGCTCTCAGTGTACCCACACGTCCAGTTTCAGTGGGGGCCTGTGTTCTGTAGTCTGGGCTAGCAGGATGGGGCCCTGAGGACACTCTGGCAGGCTGTGGGTGCTGCCTGTGGGATGTGTCAGGCACTGCTGGCTGAGCCACCCAGGAGCTTCCTGTGGCACTGATCCCTCTGAGCCTGGCAGAGACACTGCACCAGTGTTAGACCAGGCTGATGGGGTTTTCTCTTCTTTCTCTGGATCCACGTGTGGAGCTTCTTGCCCTCTAAAACGTTGTAGCTGGAAGACGTGGCCAGATGCAGTGCAGTACCTGTGCAGGTGCAATGAACAGCCAGTGCTGTTCTCACGGGTTTGGCTGGGCAGTGTGTGCACTCCTCAGCCATGGGATCAGCCTGAGGAGCCGGGGAAGGCAGGTGCAGCTCAGGACAGGTCCACTCTTCCTTGGCCGAGTCCTTTCTCATCCTCCTTTTCTGCCACGTCTCACCATTCTGCTGAAGGCTTTCCTGCATGGTTTTCCTCACTCCTGTTGGGCCCAGCAAAGGCCCAGTAGACAGAGCCTTACGTGTGCCTGCTGTGCAGTGACTTGGACTCAAAGGACTGACGTGAAAGACTCGTTTTGCTCAGGACATTAGGTACTCCTAGGAGACTCACAGGTGTAGTCACCAACTTCTGCATCTCAGGCTATCGAGAGCCTTGTGCCTGGACAGCTGCAGTTTGCAGTTCTCAGTGGTGTGAAAAGCTGCACAGCAGACCTTAGTGAGCTCAGACAGCCTGACCCCTAAAGCAGAGCCCTTGGTCCTGCCCTTCACTGTAACTGGTGCTCAGTGCCACTGGCAGGTGCCTCAGCTGGTGCTGGGGCAGCACGGTGGCTGTGGTGGGATGGGACTGGGGCTGCGGCTGCTGCAGTGAGCAAAAGCCAGAGTGCAGCTGTGCAGGGGGCCAGCACTGCTCTGTGTAACCCTGCTGTAACCTCATATTCCAGTGCTTCACAATAAATATTCCATACCTGGCATCAATGTGCAGGTCTCAGAGAAAATCCAAATATTTATAGTTGAGATCTGAGCTCAGATCTGGAGCTGTATTTATGAAGTTACACAGATACCAAAACCTCGGCTCGCTCACATAATAAATAAAAAGTGCTAGTTCTGACAGTGTCATAGATGGCTGGGAGGCAAAAATACTTCTGGAAAATGTTTAGAAATTGCCTTTTTTTTAACTTTAAAATTGCAAGTAGAATTTCAGCAAGGCCTTGTTGTGTTGTCTTTTTTTTAAAAAAAAAGTTCATTGATAAAATCAACTTTGATAACTTGTTTTGCATCGCTGTAGTATTTTGTATTGTTTTTAATTAAAATTATTAAATATGAATGGCTGTCTAAATGATTACTGGGAGCAGATCTACTGGAGGAGTTAATGAGGGGGAGGACAGAATAGAAGAGGCCCAAATACCTGCTCAGAAGTGACCCTGCTGGCACTTGCAGCAGTCCAGCTTTTATTTCCATATAAGCTGATAGATCCAATTCTCTATTGGTGAATATTTCCGTTTTCCCTCCTTTAAACCAAACCAACATGCTACACACACAAAAAGCAACACCCTTCTACAAACACTGAGTATCAAAGGTTTTATTCAAGTAAAATAAATTAAGATCCTGTGTAGTTCAAGCTATGTGACAGGTATACATAGCAACTGGTTCTTTTTAGATGAAGACCTGCATGTGCACCTGGTTACTGAGGCTCTCATGGAGTCACTTGAAGCTTGTCTTATGCTGTAGTTTTACTTTTCGTATGTTAAAATTTGTTCCAAGAAAATTTCAATACCAGTGCTCCCCAAAAAAATGTAAAGAAGAATAAATGAAGCACAGAAATAAATATTTTGAATATTGATGGTGAAGTAACATACTTAACAACTATACTTATGAATGATCTCCATTTAGTGGAGAATAATCACCAAAAGTCCCCAAAATATATTTCTATACATTATGACAAGTTTGACAGTGAAGCAGAATAAACCAGCATTTTTCCCTTATATTTAGAAGCTTTAGTCATGGCTCACACTGGGACAAACCTGGGAAGTGCAGGGTGCAGTTTGGGGTTTTACACGGCTCAGGGGTGGGGCTGGGCTGAGCTCTGGTGCTCGGCACAAGGGAAGCAGCCCCAGGTGTTCAGGCATTTCCCCTCCAAGCCCAGGTGTCACTGCCTCAGGAGCTCCCCATTCATTCCTCCTGATGGAATGAGTGCTAGGACACAGCTCAGAGCACAGCCTACAGGTGAAGGGGTTTTGGTACAGAGCATAATGACCCAAACATTTTTAAAGTATCCTAAATATTAGGGTAGAACTTTCCCAGGTCATTGTTATGTACGAAGGTTGCTACAAATCTTGAATTTGGAAGAAACTGGGTTTTTCTCCTGCCTTGTAGGAGAGTGAGCTGTGACTCCTGGATTCTGTTATGCAAGGGAGCAAACCTGACTGACAGGCAGGTGAGTTAAGGCTCAGCATGTGTTAAGACAGGAAAATTGAGCTGAAGTGTTTTATGCTAATAAATGTCTTCAGGTTACTTTTGTTTAACCACAGTTCATGCTTTTACTCTCAAGATGACAAACTCCAGCTCAAGGGCTAGTTGCTGATTTTCACTAGTCATGTTTTCCCAGGGAATGGATCAGACTAATTGCTTCATTTAAATCATCCAGCATTTCCTGCAGCTTCTGCAGGCTGGGGTGGACATTCTCCTCCATCCATTCCTCTATAGCACACTTGTGGAAAACTGGCTCCATGGCTGCTTGCAGGTCTTGCACCACAGCATTCCACTTGGAGAAGAGCCTGAGCAGAAGTGAGAAGAAGAAACAATGACATTTGCAGGTGAGCTCTGCCTCAGGGGAGGGTTGGCTTACTGGCCTTTGGAAGGGAGTACTGTCCTTAAAACCACTTTACAGGAAAAGAAGCTTCTATTACAAGAGCCCAAAGGACTTAATTTTGTTCAGAGGGCAAAAGCTTGATGCTGTTTCTCTTTAAGTTCCATTAATCTTGGCACTTTCCTCATGCCAAGACTTTTCAAGTACCAAAAAGTGAGCTCAGAAAAACACTACACACATTTTAAGTGTAACTGAAACCCACTGTGAGACTTGTTGGGAATTTAATTCTGGGTTTTATCAGAAAGAGTAGATGAGGTTGGATATTCACCTTATCACAGGAAAAAAAAAAACAACAAAAAAGAGAATAAGTATAAATGAACCTTTTAGCTGAATTGGCAAAATGTCTAGGACAAGTTCTGAAAAGCCCGTGCTGGCAGGGAGCAGGGGAAGGGCCTGGCTTTAGGCAAGCCCTGCCTGCAGTCTGGCCCAGGGGGAGCTCCTACACCAAGGCCAAGCACTGCTCAAGGTGCAGCAGGGCTGAGCCTTTTGTACTTGTTCTCAAAGTACTTGAGATCAATTCTCTACTTTTCTCAAAGAATTCATTCAACAGAAGGCAAAGATAAAATTAGAATCATAGAATGGTTTGTGTTGGAAGGGAACTGTGAAGATCATCTAGTTCCAACCCAAACATGTTGCATGAAAACATGTTATGGATACTCTGTCTGACTCCCCCTGATGTTTCTGAGATAATTCTAGAAAGAGGTAAGGCTCACAGCTCTCTGTACCTAGTGCCCAGAATATATCAGATCTTATTTCCCCTGGAGTGCAAAACAAGTGCTGTTACCTGGCTGCATCTGGCTGGAGGTGGTGCACTACGATGGGATGAATAATCTTCTTTTTCCTGTGGTAGGGGCTGAACCAGCCTGTGGCATACCTGAAAATGGATGTTGGTGGGAGCAGTGATGAAACAGCAGCAACATCTGTTTGCCACTGCCAGGGAGGCTTTAGCTGAACTCTGCACAGAGATCTGCTTAAGGAGTAAGGTTATTTCAGTCTACAGATCTTTGGAATTACCTTCTGAAAGTGTTCCTGGCAGATGATCACCTGGTATCTGCTGCAGTGGAAGTTTTATTTCAAGTTCCTTTCTTTTTTAACTACAGCGTTCAAAATTTTCATTTTAACTTTAAATAGCAGTAAAATGTAATTAAGGAAAGAACTATATGCTTCAAATAAGGCAGTATACATTATTTAGGAACTTTGCTAAAATATTTTAAATTTTGATGTAAATATTACTTTCTGCTGAGGTGTCAGTGACACCTGAAATGCAGAGCTTGATATTTAAATCACTTTTCTGGAGTTGTTTCCCACTTTGAGCTGATACAGCTCCAACACTGCTGCAGCCAGGCAGAGAATCAACAGAAACCTCATTACCTGTTCCTTTCCAGAAGTTCATCCACTGATGACTTGAGGTGGAAACTGATTTCTGTCACAAGGGTGAGGATATTGCTGCCAGGAAAGGTCCCCAGACTCGGGCTGTCCAAAGAGGATCTGTTAGTTTCTGAACTTACCACACAAGCACCTGAATTCTGCAGCTGGAATGTTACCTCATGAAAGTATCAATTTCCAGGTTAGGCATTCCCAGGAGGATTTCCACATTTTCTTTCATCTTTTCAGAATAGCCACCTGGCAGAAGACAGTGGAAATGAGTAAAGGAGCCTAAGGAACCAAAATGTTCACACAAGAGGGGTTTTCTGGAGTATTCTGCCTTGGCTTAGTAGTTCCCCTTTGGTGAGTGAAGAATTTTTGAAAAGGTGAAATGGAAATAAAAGAAGGAAAAAACACTGGTGGGTGAGAGGAGGAGCTCAGTGTCTTTGACACAGCTGTCTTGTGCAAGGTGAGCACTTCCTAGCTCTGAGCTTTCTGTTCAGGGTGCTGAATATTTCTAGTGCCTTAATTAAAAATCAGTGGATTGTGGGGGTTTATTTGAAAATAAGAAGAATATTGTTTGTAACTGCCTGAAAGAAAGCAGAAACTACAGGAGGTATTTTACCAGACAGTGTCCTCCCTAGATCCATTTTAAGAAAAACAATTAGTTAAAACAACTTTTACACATGAGCACGTTCTAAATTAAACTAAATTATGCTACTTTATATATCACTATTGTTTTAAGTAAGTTTGAAAAGCAATTCTGCATCTTAAATTTATTTCTAATATAAGCATGAAGTTTTTGACCATTTGTGTGTAAGATCACAATAAATGAAGAGGATACAATGGCTGTTTTTAAACACTTAAGCCAAGAGGCTTCTCTGCTCCCATACTGCAAATTATAATTTATTCATAATTCAGGCCATCATCAATTCAGCAAACCATCTCAAAATATAACAAGCCTGTGCTAATCTTAGGGGAAGATCACTCCTGTGCTAGGCATTATCTGACAAAGAATAAAGTTGTCATTGTACCATTCTTTATTGTCTGCAGACACACGGCCAGGGATGGAATTGCCACAGGGAGAAGCTCACACAAAACAGAGAAGTGATCATACCTACATAAGAAAACATCCATTAATTACACATTTTACTGTTAGAGCAGACTAAACAAGTGGGAAGTTTTAATATTTCAATCACTACAATTCAAAGAGCTTTAGAAACATCCATTTCTGCCTCAGAGAAGAGATCACTTTTCTCTGAAATGTGAAGTATTCCTCTTTTACTAGCAAGAACAGATGAAAACCAAATTCTCTTCTCAAGGCAAATTAGGGTCAGAAATTGGACATCAGCTCTCTGGTATTCCCTACTCCTGACTGCATAGAAATGTTTTACTCCTTCATAACTTTAACATGTGATTTCATAGTTTTTGAGTTCCCATCAGACATTCAGACTGACACACCATGCATGAAGTACAGTGTCTATGAGCAGTTCAAGGTGGCACAAAATCCATTCAAGCCTTCCAACCCAACCTGCTGCTGGTGGTGTCCCCAGAGCCATCGCTCCTGCTGGTTAGAGCTCTACAGCTACCTGCAACTCTGAAATCCACCTTCACAGTCTGGGGGTGAGGCCCAGCAGCGACAGACAGGAAGAAGTGCAGGGTGGCAATGCTCCCTTCTAAACCCCCAGCTTCCCTGTACCTCCTGGGGAGCCTTGGGTGGAAGGTTGCTCATCCGTGACCCCTGGAAGCACACAAAGGCTGCTCCTCACCTCTGCCAGCCGGTCAGCGCGATACCTTCCAGGACATCAGCAGGGCTCCTCCTGGCCACCTGCAGCCACTCCAGCTGGTTCCTGAGGTGGTGCCCAATCAGGGTGAGAGACTGATTGACTCCCGTGGCTCCCTTGAAGGCACTTGCCAGCCACACCTTGGAGAAGCCACACCTGCGGTACTTCTCTATGAGCTGCACTGCAGGGACACAAAGGGCACGCACAGGATGAGCTTTCTCCAGTTGCAGCCCCTGCCATGCTGCAGTGAAGGGAAGCACAGCTCCAGACCCAACAGGCTGCTGAGCCTCTGCAGCATCAGCAAGGATGGGGGTTTGACACCCTCTCTGAGCAGCCTTTTGAGTGCCTGTCCTCCTATTTTCATGTGTGGGTAACTGCACTCCGCTCCCTTGTCTTGCTACCACGCTAAGAGCTGTGAGATTGTAACAGGCATGCACAACATCTGACAGCTGACTGTTCTTGCAACAAAGGAATATTTGCATGAATGTTAGATGCTTGGCAGCAGCCTTAGGAGCTTCCCTCTGAATTCTATAGATGCATGAAGCCCTGAAGCTTCCTTTGCAGAGCTGTTCAGTACAGAGTTATGTGCTGCTACTGGTGTTAATACAAGGAGAATTAATGTAACAGTGCTTGTGGAAAACCTCTGAATCTCCTATCAGTGATTCCAAAGCTCTGCTGAAAAGAATTAAGCAGCCTACAATGCAAATCATTCATAGGGGAAACATAAATAGAAAAAGAAAATAAGTAATAGCAACTATGATGTGAAATCAAACAAGGGTGTCTTTATGCTATTAAGGCAATAAAAAACAATTCAATAAAACTGAATGTTCTGGTGTCCAGCTAAGGTAGGTTTCAATGACAGAATTTTGCTTTGGCTATTTTGTTTCTACACAGCTCAGCAGAGAAGTACAAACCTTTGCCCCCAATGTTGATGTCTGTTGCATAGTCCCAGATCATGAGCTGCACCAGCTGTGGCACCCCGGACTCTGAAAGGAACAGAGCTCTTCTAAATCAGGGAGAACAGCTGCTTAAATGAGAACTCAGCACAGGTTACTACAGCTAAGGCTTGTCCCTCACAGCTGAAGTGCCCCTGGGCATTTTCAGCCTGGCCAGGATTTGGCACATGCCCAGGGCCACTGTCCTCGGGCATGGTGAAACCATTAATCTGAAGCAGCAGGGACAATTTATCAGAGACCCCAGTCACCCCAAGCCCACTTCATTTTTAGCTCCTTGCATCTCTGTTACCAGCTGGATTCCGCTGGCAGAGCCCCAAGAGGAGATTTAGCTAGATTCAAATGTAACATTTACCCTTCCATTTACAGAGTGCCTGGGCTGTGTTTGCACAAAACATAGCTTTTCAAGTAAAACTAAAGATACAAATTTAGCTTTAAGTAATTTTAAAATCAACTCCTCAGCTAGTTTTAAACATGTGAAACTGACCCCTAGAGAAACTGCAGTAAATTGTGCAGAAATTCAGTATTTTAGCTCCACCACATTTTGTTTATTCTGTTATTATGGCAGTAGAGTGCACTTAGAGTGCTGTAAGGTTCTGGTGGAAACTCCAAGGGTCCCACCTGCATTATTTGGGATGATTTCCCACTATGAAAGCCTTGAATAGGTCAGTCACTGTTGGATGAGCTGCACAGTTCTTCCTGGTACCATTAAATCTGTTTACAGCAGCCATGTAAGGTGGCTCTGAAAATGCTGGAACTCCATCTGTGCTCAGACTACTCCAATTTTAGCAGTGCTTTGATATTTTTCCACAAACAAGACTTGTGATGTCAAGGTCTTGGAGCTACCCCACAATTCAGTACCAAAGTCCTCACAATTTGCACTGTGATCACAAAGATGCTCACAGGGATGCAGTTTCTCTGTGTGAGTTTGCACCACTTGGGATCAGGTGCTGCAAAGGGCAGCAATGAACATCAGAAGGTGGTGAGAGGCACAGAGATTTAGACTTGGACCACAGATGTTAATAGGTTTTTGTTTTGTTTTAATGTTGTGTTTTAATGTCTAAGGAAAGTAGAACTGATGGCAGCCACTGCAGGGTGTGCATTTTGTGATTGAAAACTAAAGTGTTCAGACTGGCCCACACTCACACAGGGCCTCTGTGGCAGCCAAGGACCGAGTGCTTCCATCCTCTAGTCAAACAAACCACACCTCAGCTCTTGCCAGATGTGTTGTTTTCATTACATTCAGCTGCCAACCAATCTGTTTTATCTGTGCAAACCTCACCCCGTGGCTGGTCACACACCTGCCAGTGTTTCCTCACTTATCCCCCTGAGCATGTCGTCCCACACGATGGGTGTCACCGTGGGGTAAGACCAGGCCAAACAAGTGGCAACTGCTTTTATGTGGGATAAGCACAGCTTCTCTGGAGTGTTGTTTTGCTGCTGCAGCCACTGCTTTGACTCCTCTCCTTGGCCAAGGTAGTAGACCTGAAACACCAAGCAAATCAGCCTGACTTCTTGTACAGAAATAAAGTGACGTAGACAATACTCAAAACCCTTCTCCAGATGTGGCCCACTGAGTGGACACATTCCAAAGCACATCCCAGTGCTGAAGACACTGCAAGCACTCCCATCAGTCTGCAGGAGACTGTGGCCATGATTACATGCATCACCTGAGGGAATTTTGCGATAGAAACTACAATATCTATATGCCATATTTGCCTTTGGAGTGTTTGTCCTTGGAAGCAGCTCTCATTATCCATTTATTCACTTCAAATCCAGCAATCCATCAGGACCTGAGGTAGGTAAAATGAGGTTCCTGTCTTGGGGGAGATCATCCAAACGTGAGTGGGGCCATGTCCAAGGGTGGCCCAGGATACTTGGGCCCATGCAGACAGTGAATTAAAATTTGCTGGTTTAGAGTAGGTTTTTTTTATTCTACATAAATAGTATTTTGTTTTATAACAGCTCCCTGTCTAGCCTTCCCACCAGTTTCAACACAACAGGACACCAAATGCTAAACTACTGTCAGTACAGTTAAGTGGTCATAATGAATTCCAGGGATCTTTGTGCCATCAGCATGGTTTTAAGAAACTATGAGAAAGAGAAGCTTGAGTCTTCTCAAGGAGACAAACTACCAAGGTAAAAAACCCAACACTTCCAACCACAGAAGGGTTTACTTTGAGTAATTTGCCCAGAACAATGAGCCAATATCTTACCAAACTTACAGGACTCCTAATGAACAGCTCTAATT